AGACACGCCAGGTACAGCCGGACCCTGCAGGTACAGGCAGACACTGCAGGTACAGGCAGACACTGCAGGTACAGCCTTGCTTGGACAGCTGGACACTGCACACAGCTGGACACTGCAGGTACAGACACTGCACGCACAGCTGGACACCTTGCATGGACAGCTGGACACTGCACACACAGACAGTGCACACACAGCTGGAAACTGCAGGCTCTGCCAACCACCCTGCACCCCAGACATCCCCGGGCTGGGCTCTGACTGGGGCAATGGGGTATTTTTTCCTTTTTTTTTTTCATTATTTCATTATTTTTTGTTTTAAATCCTGGCTGTTGCTTCTCACCTGGCCTGGTGCTGCAGGCCCAGGGCACAGCCTGCAGCTGGCAGGGCTGGGGAGCAGGAGGGAGGTGCCCAGGGATGGAGATGTACCCACAGCAGCTGGGGCTGGTGCCCAGGGTAAGGGCACAGCCAGAGAACATGCACCAACTTCATTTACAAAGTGGGCCAGAGCTGTCAGGAGCATAAAAGGCTCCTTGGAGCCCTTGGCTGGTCATCAGGCCAGGCAAGAGCTAAAAATGTCTCCATGGGAATTTGCTGGCAGGCTCCAAAGACCAAGTGGGAAAGGCAGCAAGGAGGTCAGGCAGGGCTGGGAGAGGGACAAACGTGTCCCCATCCCATGGTGCCAGCAGTGGGGCTGGTGGCTGCAGGGGAAGTTCTCTGCAAAGGTGCTGGAGGGCTGGGTGATGCTGTGGATTTTTTCCTGCACCCTTGGGAACCTCCTAGGAGGGCTGTGGGTGAGTGACAGCTCAGCAACCACAGCACCCACGTCCCCAAGCCAGGTGGCCCCCTGCCACCAAAGCAAGACCGAGCCAGGTTGCCCAGTGGGCTCAGCACTTCCTGGCCATGGCCCCCACCAGCACACATCACTGCTCATCACCCCCTAGGGCAGCACCCCTCCCTCCCTCCCAAAAAAAAACCCCAACAAACCAACAAATAACCCACTGAGTGCCCCCCTTGGTGGGGTGAAGCAGCACCCGTGTGCTCCCCTCTGCTTCCAGCGCAGCCC